TGTGTGTCATGTTGTGAGTCTAAAGTGCTGTTTAGGCTTTTGCGTTTGGGTTGAATACTAATGGGTGGTGATAATGTGGTTTGCTTCAGAGGTTATTATTATTGATTCAGGCCGTCTGAATTTTTTCATTACGAGCAGGGACCCGATTGTCCCGGGTTCGTTTTGACATTTGGTTTCTTGAGGGCACCGGCGAGCATCCCTCAGGTTTTTGTTTATTGATTCGACTTTTTCCTTGGGTTTATCTTTAATTGTTGAACGCGAAGGCAGTTATTCCGGCTCTGGCTTCTTGGCTTTTAAGGGTAGATGAGGGTGAGGAAATGGTGTGATGGAGATGAGATGGTGCGTTGTGTTCGGGAGAACAGACTTGTCCGTGAACGGGTTGTGGCGACCATGACAATATAGGTGGTTGTCTAGGAGAAATAATAAATAATTAATATTTGACATTCCGTTATATTTTCAAATCACTAATAGTTCTTTTACTGTATTTTGTAATAAAACGCTACAATTTGGTGACCCCGACTTGAGACGTGAGTGATTACGTGCGGACACATCTGAAAAATGGAACAACAACTACAGGAACAACAAACGCTCATCGCGCGACTGCAGGAACAATTAGCGCAAAGTCGACAACAACCGGAACCTACAACAGATACGATAGAGGAGATTAGAAAGGTTAAATTACCAATTTTTTGGCAAAAGGACCCCGTCCTATGGTTTGCACAAGTAGATGCCCAATTACATACGTATAAAATCAGGTCAGACATCACAAGATTTTTCACAGTGGTAGCTGCACTCGATTGTAATGTATTACAACAAGTCTCCGACGTCGTGGCTAATCCACCCTCGACAGACAAATACGAGACCATAAAGAAGAAACTCATTGCGGCGTATTCTGACTCGCAGGATCGTCAGTTGCGCAAGCTGCTTAATGAAATTGAATTAGGTGATCACAAACCTTCCCAATTACTGCGACAGATGAGAAGCTTAGCAGATAAACGCATTAACGAAGACGTACTGAAGACCCTGTGGGTGCAGCGCTTGCCTCAAAATGTCCAGCTCATTCTTTCTGCCAGGAGAATTTTTCTTTGATGGCGAACATCCTTCCGTGGATCCTGGAACCTTCGTCGATCGACTTAGAGATCAAATGCGTGAGATTCGTTCATGTCCAATAGCACGACATGGAAAAACTGCAGTTTTTGTACATCCAGAGCTAAAAAAATGTACACATGTCTTCTTAAGAGTTGATGCAGTACGAAAGCCGCTTCAGCAACCTTACACCGGACCTCATGAAGTAATCAAGCGCAGTGAGAAAGTTTACACTATTCTATTTAACGGTAAAAGTGTCAACGTTGGCATTGATCCTCTAAAACCAGCTTTCCTACCAGAAGACATGTCAGAGATAAAAAATGAAAAAACTGCATCCGAAGATCATTCTCCTCTTTTAACAACTCGACTACGAAAAAACACTAAACCGCTTGTACGTTTCCGCGACTACAACAATTAGGTAGTCACTGAGGGGGGAGTACTGTGGCGACCATGACAATATAGGTGGTTGTCTAGGTAGAATAATAAATAATTAATATTTGATATTCTGTTATATTTTCAAATCGCTAATAGTTCTTTTACTGTATTTTGTAATAAAACGCTACAAGGTCACCAAATTGTAGCGTTTTTATTACAAAATACAGTAAAGAACTATTAGCGATTTGAAAATATAACGGAATGTCAAATATTAATTATTATTATTTTACCTAGACACACTATATTGTCATGGTCGCCAGGAGTACTGTGGACCAATGACAATATAGGTGGTTGTCTAGGTAAAATAAATAATTAATATTTGACATCCGTTATATTTCAAATCGCTAAAGTTCTTTTACTGTATTTTGTAATAAAACGCTACAAAACCAAACTAAATTCAACGGTGAATCATTTACGTTGGTAGTACCGTTGATGGTCTGTGGTAGTACCGATCAAAATGTATCAAATAGGTATTACATTTATGTAAATTTACAAAAATTACGGTTTTTTAAATAAAAAACGTAAGTTACGTAAGTTTCATAAAAGACATAAATTACATAAAAAAACCGACCTCTTGTAAGTTACGCGTAATATAACCGTTTTTTATGTAACTTACAAATCGTTATTTTACAATCCACATCACTATTTCTAACATTTTTACAGTGACAGTCATATTTACTTTGGTTGGGGATTCCGGAAATATTGTTAGGACGGATCCTGGGACGGATTCACCTAAAAACTTTAATAGGGAGGATATAATTGTTTTTTTTTGCTGGCTTATCGTAAGTATCGCCTTTAATCTTTTAGTAGCAGTATTTTAAAACACCTATCACAAGGAGGGGCGTTATATTGTTAAAATCTACATATAAAAAAAGAATCTTTATTGTAGACGCTCTTTGCGATAAGTATTGACACATATTACGTACTGGTATTGTACAATACCTTAAAATTGATTTTTTGGTTGTATATTTTTTGATTCGATCTCGATTTCTGGTGGTTAACGGAAATTTGTCGAAATCACGAAAGTATTGGCGGTAATGTCAGTTAAAATCACGTCATAGGGGACAATTTTATCGAGTTGGTCGAACCGAGACTGCAAACTAAATTTAGACTGGGTTTGTCTTTTGGTGGCTCCTCAAAAATTCTTTACTTCACTGATTTATTTATTAAGTTTCGCCCAAAAATTCAAAAGTATATATTATAATAAGCGAATAAACGCGTTTTGCCGCTCTTATGTAAATGTCCATCGACGTATAGGTGCCTAATTTGGTTACATACTATTGGTAGTTAATTCATAAAAATTCGTTTGGTTTATTCGAAACTTCTAAAGTTGGCGAACTAGACATTTTGCTCCGATAGCGCTATTTATGGAGAAATCTATAAAGGCGCCACACCGTTTTGCTAAAGCTTACTGCACCGCCCGAGGGGCGGCGACCCCATCTTGTTAGTTTAAAAATCCTAATAGTTGAGGAAATTTGAAAGAAAAGTGAAAAACTCCCCAAGACGCGATGTATGATAACAATTTATTGGGATTTGTGGTTAATCTTGATAACGAAACATGCATCTTTACAACTTCTTTATTTTTCAGCTCAGTACTCACATTTCATTGTCTACCCTTAACCTTCTTTCAAGTCATTGAAAGCGGTAACTTCGAAACACAAAGACATTTCGTCCCCACTTCTTACGTTAGGTGTTTTGAGATTAGTTGCTATAATCTGCGTTTCAATGCGAGATAAACAGCATCAAAATTTCAAGTAGATTTCCCTTGCAATAATACAAGATATTAGCGCGTAGCAGTTAAATTTTATGTGCAGAACTTCGGGATGTTTGAGAGAACGCTTATATACCGCCGGTTGTACCAATATTGTATTGTTATATTAGACTTCGTTTCGTGTTTACTTGCGTCATGAATATTATCGCGCAATTAATGTAACACATATTAACTGTTATGCGTAAACGATACGAAAACGCTGCTTATATGTTTGTTAGGAATTTTTGATAGTAATTTGAGTCTTATGAAGCAATTTGCAGCCTAGTGGTTTCATTTAGGCTAAGTCCAAAGCCAAGAGATTGATATAACATTAACCACGAGGCTTTTTTTCTTACAAATTATATAACTAGAAAGTACAGGTTGGTGAGATTCATGTTTATATAGTCTATGGGCCAACTGGCTAAATTTAAGGAAATGGTATAATTTGGGGGTACCAATTTTCCTTTTTACCACGGTTAGACACATACATTAGGATGTAAAAAAACGATAATTGCCATCTCAAAGTGGTAGCTAATAGAAATGGCGGCCAATCCAAGATGGCGGATGTTGAGTTTTATAAAATGAACTATACCTATCTTTCGAACTATTGGTCCGACTTCATCATTTTCTTAAATGAAAGCTTTTGTGTGTGCTACAATATTGGCCCATATGAATAAAAGGAAGCAAATGCTTATACTTGCAAAATTCAAAGTAAATACTCGTAAGTGCTCCTTCACACTGGGCGATTTAGCAGCGCTGCTGAGCAGCAGGACAGGGCGCAGTGCAACGCTGCTAAACCATGCTAAAAAGACCAGTATGAAGGGGCAGTTACGAGTATTTACTTTGAATTTTGTAAGTATAAGCATTTGCTTCCTTTTATTCATACGGCCCATTGTCATAACTACATTTCCGATAAAATCAACAATTAGTAACTAATGCATGAAGTAAACGAACGGAATTTTTTTTAACTCTTAACATTTAATGAAAACTAAATTAACCCCATCGTTACTTTCAAAAGTTTCATATACACTAAAATCTGCTCCTTCATCCTTTCTTCAGTGACGTATCCACAAGTTGGCAGTTTGCATGCGCTTGTACACTTTAAGTTATTAGCATTACGTAATGGTAGTTGTCAAGAGCCAGCTTGGTAATTCTACGTGAGGTGATATGGAAGCCAAACTTAGGGTTATCTTTCATCTTTTTGCTGCTTCCGGAATAGCATCTCTTTGATTTTGACGCACAATTTTCCAATGTATTTTTTGTTTTATATAATCTACTTATGTCAAATTATTGGCACAGTATATACCTTTCCATCAATATTAACAAACTCTTTGCTGATGTTATGGCTAAAAGCCGTATTTGATCGTATTTTTTGCAAGACAGTCAGTCTTGTCAGTTGTAAAGTTCTTGTTTACCGTTAAGCGGAAACGTGTGTCACGTTTTACGAGGAAGTTAGTGGAAGTGCTGTGTTTATCGAACAGACGTCGCTTATCTGAAGCCTTTCTTTAAGGTTTTCTCAGTACTCGTTAAAGGGAGTTTTTTCACCATTAAAGAGCCAATTTTACACCTGTCATTACAACGAACCCAGTGTCGTGCAAATTGAGATACAAGTTCAATTAAAGTAGAGAAGTGAAGGTTTAGAAACATAATCCGCACATACCAATTTCATCATCATTTGTTATTTGATCATGGCTCTTCAGCTACAATATATCTATAGACGTAACTACAATGATTTTTGTATTTAGTAATTATTTTAATTTTAATTCAATTGTTTGATCAGCTAAAGCTGTGAATAATCGTTTACTTTTGGTTGTCTTATGAGATTTTGTGTATCTTCGGTTTGCAATATTTATTAAACCGAATTTATTTTTGCGGATCTTGCATATTTTGATATCCTTTGTATTTACATGATACAATTGCATATTTTAAGATGTATTTAAATTTTTGTTAGATTTAATCGATTTTAATTTCAATTTTTAATACATTTTTTCGGATTTTTATAACGGACGCGATAATGAAACATACTGCAAAAGCCGAAAGGAAGATTTATTGATTTAATTGATGTTTAATTTCATCATTTCTAAACTATTTTATCTTTCTCTTTCTCTACGGTGATGATGGGTGATATTGTGGAAGGTTTGGAAATTGCTCCCAATAGTTTGTCCTTTTCTAATGCACCTATTACTTTAGTTGATGTAGAGTATAGTTTCTCTGCTTAGTGCTTATAAATTAATTCTTAGCGACAGGAGACAATCATTTCGTGCAGAAAACTTAGAGAAACATCTTATTGCTAGTGTTTATCGTAATTCTTTTTTATTAGAAATTATGCAACATATATAATTTTGTATACGTGTGCATATATATCAAAACTGTTTGCATATTTTTCACTAATATTCTGCATAATATGCGCATAATTTTACCATTCATTGTGTATTAATACAGGCAGTAAAGAACATTCGGGAAACAATTAAAAAAATCATTTTTTTAAATTACTTATTAACAGTTGATTTTATCGAAAAAGTACTAATAACAATATTTATAGCACATATAAAGAGCTTTCATTAAAAAAAAGATTAATGAAATTGGATCAATAATTCCAGAGATATAGTTTACTTTATAAAACTCTACATCCGCCATCTTTGATTGGCCGCCATTTCTATTAGCTACCGCTTTGAGATGGCAATCATGATTTTTTGGCATCCTAATAAACCTGTATTACCACTGTAAAAAGGAAAATTGGTACCCCCAAATTATACCGTCATGTCGACTGGCCCATGGACTAATAAATAATGGGGTTAAATTTCATTTAATTGTAGAAAAAACCGGCCCAATACCCCTTTGTTATCTAGAAATGCGTGTAGTTGGTACATGTTTAGTCATTAGGTGGTTAAAACAGATCATTAATACTTTCGAATGATTTTGGAATGAATAGATGAAAACAAAAAATTTTAGACGGAATTTACCTTAAAGTGCGGACTACATTTTTGTAGGGCGTAGTATGCTAAAGTGATAATTAAAGGTTTCTTTCATAAATTTTTTTAATTACCTCCGTGGAGGGGGGGGGGATTATTCTACACCCCCGGAGAGCGTAACAATATTGTCTAAATGCGCGAGGGCAGTAACGCCAATAAGTCCAGTTCGAATATGATCGATTAGCCGTTGAAAACTCGCGGGAGTGTTTCGAAGCCCGAACGGCATCCCATTAAAAGGATATAAGGTAAAAGGCGTTACAAAAACCGTTTTATCGCGATCCTCTGGGCGTACGGTCATTTTGCACGTAGGCCCAACGTGCCATAAGGGAGGTAAATGATAGCAATCGGCGACCGTAAGGTACTTCAATCGGTGGTAATCAATGCAGACTTTTACGGCCCCGTCCTGTTTGCGGACCACGACGACAGGCGCAGCTCGGGCGGAATCGCATTCTTCCACCACTCTCAGTTCCAACATGCGTGCGAGATGGGAAAAGATACTGAAGTACGTCGCGTGTGGTTTCGTATAGATCCCAGAAGTATGCCACCGCGGGGTCGTCTTCGGCGGGGGCTGGTCCAGGATATGATCCGAAGAGGTGCAGGAACTGGACGGTTCTTCTGGCGAACACTGACACGTTGGTGTATGTAGGACAGGTGGCTGCTTCACTTGGCCAGAAGTGCGAGAAAAAGAATTCTTCCGCCGGTTTTTCCAAGTACTTGACTGCGTGGCGGAGTTGCCTGCGAAGATGTACGTACCTTGGGGCGATTGAGGACCAATCTGGCGTCGAAAATAAAATCTATGCCAAGGAGGGGTCCGGGGAGGACGTAGATGTCGTTGGTATTACCTCGCGCTCGAGGTTTCTGTCACTTAAGCAGTTGCTGCACATTACCCCTGGGGCTCCACAACCGTAGCAATGAAGTGGTGGTTTTGCGATTTGTGTGGTGGTGCTGGTGGGATGTGGTATCAAGAGGTTTAGGGGTTACCTTGTCGCTTCCGTTTGCAACATTCCTCTCGGACGCTTTCTTGGGATCTCGAGACGTCGAAGTACCGTTGGACGGCTTACCGGAGGTATTGGTGGCGGCGGGCTCTAGCCACGTGTCCTCTACAATCTACAAGCTGTTTATGCTCGAGGAAGAGTTAGGTGAATGAGGCGAACTTGATGCGCGGAACGGCCTTACGAAATCGAGGACGCAACATCTGAGCTAGAAGGCCCCGTTTGGTAGCTCATCTCGGAGAATCTTCGCGATTAGGGTGCGTTTCTCGCATTCACAAACCTTACTGTGGAGTGTGGGTATCTTTTTTAGAAGCAAAGGGTTTCCTCAGGATCTGGTCCGGTCAGAAGTTCTTTAGAAGCGGGTGACTTCGGCGAAAGTTGCAACAGTGCTTTTTACACTCTGCCACCAGGTTCGCTCTAGTAACATGATTATGCATCGGAGCGCGTTCTATTCGCTAACTCGCGCTCGCAGTCACGATTCAGTTTATATACAAAAATAAAAATATAAAAAATAACAATAGTTTATTTTTAAAGTGGCGGCCAAAACTAACTAGTTAAAAATCTAAATGGCCGCCATTTTGAAAAAAAGAATCTTGCGGTTAATTTTTTATACCGTTGTCTTGGATTTTGGCAAATTTCATTGTAATAACAAAGTTATAATTTTTTTAATGAAAAATACAAAATTGAGCCACCATCTTGGATTTTGACTGATTTGCTGGGCCAGGATTAATAATAATAATGATAATGAATATGTTAAAATAGACACTTTTCACAATAAAATGCAGAAAGAATCATTTGTGTTACAATTTTGCAATCAGAATTTCTGACGGCAACAGTCAGCGGTTGTCACATTATGTCAGGCGTTGTGGCGAAAGGTTCAAGCATTGATGTTGCAACAAGACTACGCCAGTGATGCAGAAATTCTGGTGTGTGTGTTTTTTTGTTTTTTAATAACACGGTCTACACCGGTTTATCATGTAATTTATTAATGTGTAACTACTTCTGTGAAAAATATTGAATAACCTAAAAACTACGGGGTTTAGGCATAGGACACCTCTTATAAAAATTGAAGAGCATACAAAAGAATATCGAATAGAGAAATAAAATAGTGGTCGTTCCATTTGAAAAAAAATAGTTATACATGTATAGAATTTTAAAATATGGAAATTTTTATTTTTTTGTGAACACCCTGTATCGCTAAATTCCACTTTCTCATTACCAAAGTGTTGCCTTTTATTCAGATTAAGATTATTGATCAAATGTTTTTCTTAACTTTAACATCAAAGTCGCTACGATTTATTAAAGTGAAGCTGGCTTATATTCGGAAAAAAATTAATATTTTGGCAACATTGACAAAAAACCAAACAGTGAATAGGTGTCCATGCATAGGTTAAAAATGACATCGAATCAGCTAAAAATATATAGGGTGTTCCATTTAAAAAATCATTGACACCGTAAAAATGGGTCAACCTGTACATTATAATTAATATAATTTCTGTAGACGCGCAACCATCTACAGTTGTCATTTGCACAAAAGGTTTTTGAATATTTTTCACCCGGTATGAGCTAGGAAAAACCGACGCGCTGTTGCAAGACCCTGTGTATACAGTGTTGTTCATTTAGAAGTAGACATAGGGTTTTTCTATGTCTACTTTTAAATGACAAAAACCTTTCTGAAAGACGTTTAAACTACCCAGCTAGCATGGTGACGTCAAAATGACGTGAATTTTTAGTCATCAAAGACGTGATTAATCACCTTATAAAGACGTGTATAGAACGTGATTATGACGTGAATATGGCACAGACCAATGACGTGATCTGTTGACGGACCAATGACGTGATCTGTTGACGTACCGCTGACGCTATTAATCACGTCACATAGACGTTATATTTGACGGCATTTTAACGTTATATCTGACATCACTTTGACGTGATAGGTCACGTCATCTAGTGCGTGAATTTGGAATAATAAAAAAATAGTAGGAATAAACTGTATATATTTAAAACTTACTTAGTATGTACATTTAGAGTGCTCTTAACATATAATCTTAATTATAATACATTAAAGTGTATGTAACAAGGGCATTGAAACAAAACGATGATCTTTGTATGGGAAAACAATACATTTCCCATTAACATTAGATAATGGCCAACTTTGTAACTCTGACAGCTTATCAACAACATGTATATTTAATGAAGATGAACTGAATGGATAATCATATAAACAAGAATACGAAGAAAACATTTTGCCTATTATTACCAGACTCCCATCAGAATAACATATAAAATTGTGTATTTGAATAACTTTTTCCTTAATCATACAATAACTGTCAGCATTTGACAATGAAGTTACTGAAAATTGATAATTTTTAAAGTAAACTTTTTTGAACTGTTTATATCGCAACTGTAACATTAATGAAAGTACTGGTCCACAAAAATGTTCAATTTGTGGTTTACCATTAACAAAATTTGACGTTTTGCCGTCATTTATTAGAAAATTAAGCTCTTGTAATCTATTGCATATTTGTATCAGTGGTTGTTTTGGACTCTTAATTAAACGTTTTAATTGGCCTAGAAAGTTTTCGAAAGGAAATGCAGAAAAATTGTCAAGTGCGCCATATATTGCCACATCTGTTGGTAAATGAATTAAATTGTGAACATTAAAAATTAAAAACTCTGCATCATAGATTTGCTCACTGTGCTGTACAAAATTTTTTAAAAGTTCATAAGCTGCTTCACATCCAAAATCCCTGATATGTTTTTCCGAGCACAAAATCACTATTGCTGCATGAAGCAATAAAAAATGTTCATGTACTGATATGTTTATTATTCCAGGAAGAATAACAGGTCCAAGATATAAAAGAAAAGTTCGAAATTCGGTTGCCTTAAAACGAGCTAATTCGGATAAAGAACGAGGCTTTCTATTTATTTCTGTTGGAATACAATTCTTTAGGTGAACCATTTTGTCAGACAGAATTTCAACTGACCTGGAAGGTAATCTGACTCTATAAATACCACTAATCCAACAGTTGAGAAGCTTACGAGTTACTCCTAAACAAACATTATGCATATAATCAATTGGAAATGAAGTTACCAGTCCAATGTTTAATTGCAATAGAGGAGAATCATTTAAATGATGATCTTCATCTAGTTTTAATCGAAAACTCTCATCTGTTCTTAAGTCTGCATTGATGTCATTTAAAATAACTCTACCTTTATAATAAGTCCCTGCCACAGTACATTTTTCACAAGAAGAGTACCCTCCATGTGATTTGATACATTTTAAGTACGATCGTGCTGGTGCATCACACACAAAACAATTAACTGATACTTTAAAACTCTTACTATTAAAGTTAAAACCGTTTTGAAGTAAGGAAGTTAATTCTTTAATAAAATCTTCCAAATAATCATTAAGTAGTTTTGGCTTTGATACTCCACAAAATATTGCAATTGGAAATGGCGTTTTCACATTAAAATTTTGTATAAGTCCTAAAATAGGCCATAATTGCATATTTGAGCTTTTGAAAATTGGTAAACCATCAACATTAAAAATAAGGTTTATTGTATCATCTAAAAAGTTATTAGAATGTATCGAAAGTAACGCATGTAAAGAATTTTGAATGCCCAGGTAGATTAAATCTCCATTTTCCAATTTCCGTATATTAAATTTTGAAGGGGTTTTTAAAAGAGTTCGAGAATCAAGCGGCAACTCTGGATGAAAAGGGGCTAATATGTGAAGAAGTGAAGTTATTGCTGTATGAGGGACACTTGGATTTGTAACAGCCCATGTTCTAATGGCAGAGGTTATTGAATTTAAAATCTTATTTTCCTTTGAAGTAGTAGCAGGAGAAAGATGGTCCATATTTTCAAAAGTATTACAATCATTACTAATATCAGATACATTAGAATCATCACTAATTTCATCAGAACTCAAAGTGAGAACTTCTTGATTAGAACTTTTAACATTGCTACCCTCAGTTGCAACATTAGGAAAAGTTGAAGTTGAGGTACAAGGTACATTTTCTTGACAGACCTCAGATTTGCTGACTTTGTTTTGTGAACCAATAATTTCATTAACATCATTTTCAGCTCTTCGATATAATTGCCTCTTACTCACAAAAGATTTTGTTTTGAACTTAATTCTACGTTTAGGAATGTTCATATTAATCTATTGTATTTTAATAACTAAAGTAAAAATACTAAATAACTAAAAACTACTAAAATTAGTTTTAACGTTTTCTTGAAATAAAAAATATTGTATTGTCAAACCTTAAACATTTCTTTTTGCTTCTAAGGCTAAGCGCTGTGGTGCATGTTTCAGCCATACTTTGATACAGTTGTTTACATCTATCTCGAGTGTGTTTGGCAGAGACACCAAAACTGCAGCTGAAAGATAACATTATACTCCTAAGTTTAAATATAGTTTAAATCAAAATACATACCTATAATGGCTTTACAAAGTTTTAAGGTAGAAAACGCTTTTTTGTTCCCTCTGGAGCCCAAAAAACTGTATCGAACAGCAATACCATTGGTAAAAACATAACGTAAAATGGTATTTGTTTTTGATGTTATGTCACGACCACCAATAGTAGACATATAAGAACTCTAAAAATAATAACATATTACTACACACACTACATCTAAAAGTATAATTAGCAGCTTGAATAGAAATATTGCATACCAATGCAGAAAGGTTAGTCTCCTGCGTTAAATATTCTTCAATCAAATCAACTTCTTCCAGATTCTCAATGGGGAAGTTCACAGGCAATTCTGGTTGGTGATGCAAATTTGTACTGTCCAATTGGCTGGGTTTATTTTTTAAAATATGCAATATTTCATCATTTTGTTTACTTAGTTGTTCGTTTTGCCTTTTCACTAAGGCAACTAATTTATATAACTGTTTAATAGAAACATGTAAATTATCTAAAACAAAAAAAATATGAAATGAAGGTTATATTCTGTATAAATTCCTTACCATCAATGTTCGATGTCTCACGATCTGGTTGTTCCACAGCAGCTACCGATGTCACTGATGGGGATGGTGAACAGGATACAGTACTTCTTGAAGCAATACTCTGAACAGATAAAACTCGCAGAGGTGATCGAGTAGTTGGAGTCGTAACACCTATAACCCAAAATTGTAGTTATTGCAGCTTATACAAAAATACTTACAATGACTTATTCTAGGAGGTCGTTTAATACTCGACACAACTTCATCATCCTCATCTGCACTAGATGAGCTTATACGTCTATGCTTTCTTTGCCGCTTTTTATCTTGCTCAGTATCGGTCGTTTGCACGTCAGAAGTTGTTTCACATCGTTGTAATTTTTTTAAAGATTTTTCTAATGCATCTGAAAATTAAACACCTAGTTTAGTACACATTCAATGAAAAAATAAAAACCCCTTGAATTATAAAGGGGCTGCAGTATTTAACAATATCGTAAAGTTGAAAAAAGTGCAATATAAAAAATTGTTCGAAATATACTGTAGACCCTAGACAAGTGGTTCACATCAAATACCCACCACATTCGAAAAATTTACGTTTTACTGCGTAAGCCACCCAGGTGTTTTCATCAGGCTCTTCCCCACACGACAATGCTTTATTAAGAGTTTTCGAACTTTTATAAGGTGGCCACCACACATGTTTCTTGTGGGGAGACATCCACGTAGAATGAACTACAGCAATTTCATCGACAGCATCATTGTCAAATTCAATTCCAATAAATGACATTTTAGAAACTACACAACAGTAAGGATTACAAGTTGCACAGAAAAATGTAATCATAAACTTACCTTTTATTAGTATCACTTTACGAAAAAGAAGTATATCGATCACAAATCCACAAGATAATGGTCACTCAACAATACGATGCGAAACGCTTAAATACAAACCACAATTCATATAAATTAAAAGTGATGCAACACACAAATAATAAAATGGCGTTGTGATTATCACGTTCTTTTTCGATGGAATGTTGTTGATGTTGATTGGATAAAATGCAGTCACGTGCAAAAAGTGCACGCGTGTGTCTCGACATATCGCGAACTTGACCGAACACACCTATACCGCAGAACAATTTCAAAAATTAAGCGGGAAAAATTTATTTAACGAATATATAGGTTAAATTTTTTTCATTTTTACTACCTACAAATAAACAGTTATACTAAATATATCTTTTAGTTGTCACAAAAATGTTATTAGATACTGTTATAGAATAAATAGGATAGCTATAACTTCAATTTTACATTTCTTTCAATTAAATCATCAAAAACTTCAGATAAATTCCTTTAGAACAATTACAAAAAATGACGTCAAGAAGTCGTCTCATCACGTCATATAATGACGTCAAAATAATGGTCAGATAAATGACGTCAATATGACGGCCCGTCTAGGTCACTTGACGTCGAAGTCATTAAAATGACGACATGTTCACGTTCTTCTAACGTCAGCTTGCTAGCTGGGTGATATCGAAAAATATATGCGACCGCCCTTAATACTATCCTGATATGTACGGAAAGTAGGTAATATATCGAAGATATGCAAAGTACCAATATTTTTTAAAATAATGATAAATTGCAAAATATTTCTTTGATAACGGATTTTTTCAATTTTCATCAAAAGTTCGCTAATCCTTCCATAGGAATTTTCTCTGATTTGTTCTATAACATCTGGATCAATATCATTTGTTACCATTGAATTTGTATTGTTATAGATTTGATATTACAATCTCCACCCAAATCTAATTTTAAATTCTATTGTTTTGGTTTTTTAATTTAAGTTTCCAAATAATTCCAAAAGGAACTAATATGATGTTTACGTCTTAATATATCATTAAATTCTTCTCTTCAGAGTTTTCAATAATGCTGTATAAAATTTTCAATGCTTCCGCAATTAATTTCATCTATATAGATCTTCACATATTTTACAATAATTGACGTATATATTATATGTTTTCCTAAAGTTGTGTCAATAATTTTAAATTTCCGAGAATCACTTGTAATTAATTTTGATACCTTTATTTTTTTCACTACATCTTGACTAATTGACCCTGATTCTAGAAATATATCTATAATTTTTTATATAAATCTATAAGAGTTTGACAAAGTTTATTTAAATGAATTAAATAATTATACATATTTTTAAATTTTAATATGGTAAAACCACCATAAATTTTACAAAGAACTTTGATCTTCTCCATAATGAACAGTTCTCGAGTAATAATCGGTTGATTTTATTTTTCCCAATTTGAATCTAGTGAAATTTTAGATAAATCACAATAATTTTCAGAGGGAACAATGTCAAAATGATCTAAAACTCTATAACTTCTTCAATACAGCGCAAGTTAATTTTATGCTCTTTCATTTATATCAAAAAAATGTCTTTAATTTTTATAACCACAAGGAATTGTATCATAATTTGGAAGAAATACTCTTTTATCATATCGAAACATTTCTATTTATTAAATTTTTAGTTTTTGAACATCTAGTAATTTGATTACTTTCGATTAATTTTATCATAATTTCACCATTTAACTTTTGTGATCCAGAGTAAAACATTTAATTTTTATTACATATTTCTCATTATTTTTACCCTCCTTTTTCTCGAAATAATAGCCTTTATGACCCGGTGAGACTAAATCAACAATATAATTATTTTTATCTAATTCGTCAGTCCATTCTCCCAATCTGTTTTTACAGTATTTTGATCATTATCTATAAATAAAATATTGAATACGTGACATAATAACATACAGCTTCTTTTAATTCATGAAGTTTTTGATACAACTAGCATTTGATTTAGTAAATGCAGCTATGAAAACATTTGTACAAGCATTATTTTCTATATTGCTTATATGTTATCTGAACAATTTCATAATTTAAAAAATGTATATCTATTGTTTTTAATCTATCATCTAATAGTATATGGTAGAATCTTCGAAGATCTGTTACATTACCCATATTTTGCCTTTATCCAATTTCCCCCATAAACTATTTAACTATTTAAACCAATTTTCGCAATAGCTTTTTACCAGGATTTTCTTCTTTTTTACTAGGATCTAAGTCAATATTTAATTTTTCTTTGATATTTTTTATATAATCTTCTTTACTACTAGTCATTTTTCCAAGGACTGGTTTCTAATTTAATCTTCATAACCATTCATGACCAACAGTGTAATAATCATAAAATTACACTGTATAGGATACAAACTACAAACATCAATATATCATATTTTAGTATGTTCTTTCCATCTGTTTTAGCTCTTGATTTTGTATCTGTTCTTCCTCCAAAAAATGCTTCTCTAGGATTTAATGGATTCATTTTCTTATGTGTTTCTGATTTTAACCACTCGCATTCTCAAATTTCTATCAGATTAACACTTTCTTTTATTTTCTTGCTTCTCTCTATTGTTTTTTGATACAAATCATCCATTGATTCTCGTTTTCTATTAATGTTTCTACTCGGTAAAATTTTTGACAACCCTGCCAAAAACATCCGTGATGCTGATAAATCGTATTGGTTTCCTTATCAAAGCCATCTACTTTATATGATTTTTATTTTTGTACAATTATATTGTTATCTATTTCTTTATTATGGCCTCTACAAATAACAGAGTTAAAATCCTCAGCACAGATAACGTTTATTTGAATATTTAATATTTCGTCAACATGTTTTATATCACTTTTAGTAAATCTTCCTTATTACATTCACATAATCTGTTACATAGTATAGTGACCAATTCGTTCCGTAATTTATATTTATCTCTCTAACGCCCGGTTGCAAGAAAGCGAATTATAATCGAAATCCAAGATTATTTGCCCAATCCGAGATTAAACAAAAATTTTGGTTGCATGATCAAGTATTGGATTAAACTAATCTTGATTATTCTAATCTAAGTTTATTCCTACTATAATCCCTGATTACGTTGGTTTTGGGTTGCATGAAGCTGTAATCCTACATTTGTCATTGATTAAATCAAAATTATTCTAATTCGTCAAATCGGAGAATTAAACTGGAATTATAACGACAGAACTAGGGAATGCAATTCCGCGGCAAAATTTTGATCCCGGTATTTGCGGGATCGTTTATGTTAATCCCGCGGGATCCCGCAAAATTTTAAATGTATTGGGAAATATGCAATTTTGTGCGGATTAACCGAATATTCTCCAACAAAACATATCGTATTTCCCGGAAAGGATGCGTCACATCCGCTTTCGGCCTCCACGTTTATCTGGATTTCTAGAATATTCACTACAATTAATACAGCCATACTGTACTACTAAAGTTTTTATAAACCATCGACGAGTATACAGGGTGTTTTAAATTGAGTAGGATGATTATCTCTGTTATTGTTGAACTACGTACAGATTCGGTTAAATTGGCAAAGTTGTGTAGTTTTTGATGCTGGTTGATATTTCGACGCGATATTTTGAAAAAATAATTCGTTTCGTAGATAATTGGAGAAAAAGTGAAAATCGCCATTTTTAAAAAGGTCAATATTTTAGTAACAAAGAGAGCTATCGAAGAAAGTTTCAAATAAAAGTTGCAGGATTCGATCGTATAAATTAAATGAACGTAGAAAAAAAAATTTCAAAATGGCGGTTTTCGAGATATTGATTTACGGACGACCTGTACGTATCTGCACTTCTCCGTTACGCGTTTTATTAATAAATTTTAAACAACGTCGTAAATTTTGCAATCCCGCAAATCCCACGGGATCCCGCTTAATTTCTGTACGGGATTAATCCCGCAAAAATGCTGCGGGATCCCGGTATTTCGAGATCCCGCGATCCCGGTATTGCATTCCCTAGGCAGAACGTACAAATGTCAGATAGGTACATCATTATCAAGTCTGGAAAGCGACAATGATGAATTGGTTTTGCCTAGGCCAAGACTTTTTAGAGACAGGGCAAATCCAATGGAAAATTATGATGATCTCGATTTCAAACAGCGCTTCCGATTTTCAAAGACCCGGTACGGAAAATGTTGGACCTTGTTGGGGAGAATTTGAAAATGAGTATTGGGTTTCGATGCAGACTTGAGAGGGCGTTAGCAATTTTTCTCCAAGTATCATTTTTTTTCTCGCACAATGGTCCATTTGTTACCTTACTTTCTACTATTGTTGAAAAACTGAACTGTATAGGTATATTATTTTCTTATCATCAGTTATACATAAAGAAATTATACAATAAAATTACAATATCTATACTAATTATAGGTACTTACTAACCTTTTGATCGTTTCTAATAGAAACTCTTTCTCTACCTCTGTGTAATTTTTGCACTTCTCCTTCCTCATTTTTGTTGATGTGATCCGTAACCGTGATCAACAGATTTAACACTACGCTATCACCTCACAAACGTCAAATTAGTGTTGTGTCAAAATAGGGGTGAATTCACAACGACCTGGCGTTGGATTATAATAATTCTAGAATTTCAAAATCTAAGATTCGATTAAGTACGAGAAACCCGATCGTGGACTAATCTCGGCTTATATGTAACTCCGGATTTCCTAATTCATGTATATTCCAACCGTCTTGCAACCGGCCGCTAGTCTAATTTTTTTTATTTCATTATCTGTCAACTCCCTTTTTAAGAGTATATTAGTTTTATAAGTTAGAGCAACAATCACAGTTCTAGGACAAAATAAACTATCACAATTTTTTATCTGTGTTATACACCTGTTTGTCTTTAAATTTTCAGATCAATTAATAATTTTTCATGTTATCAAAAATCTCTAAAAAAAAAAAAAAAATAATAATTTTTCTTCCTTTTTGCACCTCTTGGTATTGTTATCGTTTTTATACTAAAAGTTGTTTGTGAATCATCAATCGTGTTATCGGATGTTAATTTTTTAATTAATGCAGTTATATTTTCACGTGCGAAATTTTTTTTGTGAAATACAAATTCAAGCTTTTATACGTACAAGGGGGAGTACAAAAAAGTAGCAGAATTTAATTTCAAAGAATAAGAACTACATCAAGCGACATCTAACGGAGGAATTTTACAACACTTATTACAGGGTGTTTACAAATAAATTTTTTACGTTACCAACTTCAGTTCGGTGAACATATTGGCGAATCTTACAATTTCCTAAAACCCTTCAACACTCAATAATTCCCTCGAGGGCGCAGATCATAATAACTCTTAAAATTAAACGACTTTATCAAAAAAGTATTTACTCGTAGAATGCTTTAAATGCCCTGAAAAGCTCTCCCTTGGGACCGTAAGCGACTCAAGGACTCTCGAAAACTGATCCAAACTCTTCATGCGTTAAAGACTATACGTTCTGAAAACTTTGATTGAGTGTTAAATACTGTAAGGTATCTACAGATCCTAGAAGATACAGATCTTGGCAGGAAAAACTAACAGAATCTGATAAATGTATAGGTTTTACGCCTTCTAATAGAGTCTAGAGAACCTACCGAATTGTGAAAAGCACAATCTATAGAATTTATTGTTGTGTAAACAAGAAGGTTTGTTCGGGCTCGGTACCTATAATAATAATGGGCCACCCTGTATGTGGAATATCAATTTGTTTATATGTAAAGTTGGTTGCTGGTCTTTGAACAGGGAATTAGTTTCTTTGATTTAAATTTGAATATTTATACATTGTTTTGTATAAGAATTGTGAAGTTTGTTCCTTTTAAAATTTATTGTCTTGTAATTTGTTTATTTACTAGCAAAAGTGAAATTGCGTATTAAAGGGTAGAAACACTTGGTCTTATTTGCGTGTTGTATTAAAAGGTTTATCTGGCCATTGCGATAAGAACAAAAACAAAAAACGTTCTTATCGCAATGACCAGATAACAGATAACACAACGCGCAAATTAGTTTCAAGATGAACACGATAAGAAAGCAACAAGTGTGAGGTAGTGAGGTAGAAAATAAACGCGAATTGAAACCTGTGGTGTCAATTGTGGGAGAATGTAAATTATCAGAATAGTGTTGCTGTTGCGACGTTGTTATCAGAGGTTAGTTTGGGTACATTTTTTTAAAGTTTGTTTTAGAATTGCTAGACTGAGATTTGATGATTGAGGGTGTGGTTTTTGCTGTAAACACGAAAAAATGTCAATAAAAAATTAAGCTTCACCCTTGTCCACATTACTTGCAATTAGTTACGATAGATAAAGGTGTAGTTGCGGTTGGTTAAACCCTTTCATTCTAAAATAACAAATTGTGTTTTGTTTGGCGCTTTTAGGGACTGCTCGAGTAACTTATTTGAGGCTGCGTCCCATGTTCGGGATATTATTCCGGTTGCCCGGGAGATGGTTTCGCTGATTGCCTCCAGACACTCGTGGGTGGTGTAATGCAATCTTCTTATGGCGTCTGAACTCACAAATGATATGAAAATACCTGAAATACAGGAATGGAATAGTTCAATGAGAGGGGGTCGCCAGCATCGTTTTTAGTACGTTTCAGTGAATTTCGTCCTTTTTTTTGGGGGAATTCTTGGCACTTGTGCAAAAATGTCTTGCTTAGTAACAAGTATCGAACATCGACATATTAATAAATGGACTGCGCGCGCCAATGCTAAACACGGATACTGCAGGTGAGAGAGAAGGTAAAACTACGAGGGCAAGCTGTCTCTTACGGTTACGCATCTCATTGGTTCTTTCAACAGGAGCGATCGCGACCGCAATCAAATTAAATTGAAAGAACCAGTCAGATGCGTAACCCTAAGAGACAGGTTGTCCTCTTAGTTTTCCCTTCTCTCTCACTTGCAGTATTCGCTTTTATCATTGACACGTGCAGTCCATTTACTATGCCGATGGTATCGAAGGGAGCATGCTCTTGACAGAAAATGCCTAGATTTCGATTTCAGCCTGGATCTTTCTATGCTAGTGTTATTGTTTTGCTTGAGCGGTTATCGTTATCACATACGACGACCTTTTCTTTATCGTTAAGTTGTTTTTGACCTTGCCAATGGATTTGACTATTGTGCTACTTTACCTTTAGATCAATGCAGTTTAATCGCACCCTTGGCCACGTACCTACCACACTTTCTCGTCTAATTTATCGATCGTATAGGTCCAAAATTTCAGTGGGACTTCTCTGAACTTTGTGCGGTCGCTATTTTGGAGAAATGAATCCTGCGTTCCGAGCACTTAGACGCCTTTACAGTCAACAAACAGCCTTAACGATGTCACGTGCAGGACGGTTGTACAACAAAACGAATTTGGCTGAGTCATCAGATGAGTTTCCAAAAAATGGTAAGTGATCGACACCTTGTCAGTGAAAGTTGTTAACCATTCGTCTAGATTTTGTGAAGATGATGATGTACCATTATCCATTTAGTATCAGAGACTCAATACCCAGGCACGACAACGAATTTACTGAGGTAATTAAGCGGTTTGATGAATTCTGCTATTACGCGGGGCCAGAAAGGGAACTCTACGTGGGTACAATAGTGCTGGATTGCTACCAAGTTATCGCGTCGGCCGAGAATCTGACGGTCAAAAATTTGCGATTGGCCAGTATTTTAGCTTGGGTTTTTGAAAATGCAAGTTCTTATACACAGTACTCAGCTTAATAGTAATGCCACAACCTTTAGATAACAACAGGTTTCATAGTGGGCGATGATCTCCTGGACGGTCACGTGGTACGTTGGAATAAACCATGTTGGCACAAAACACTGCCCCCGAACCAAACCTCATTCTTAGACATCAAAAAAATCCAAACCGGCTCCATGTTGCTGCTCCGCAAATACTTCAGTGACCATCCAACTTATCCCCAACTTCTGAACCTACTTTGTGAGGTGCTGTACCACACTCATATGGGCCAAATTATAGATTACATTTCGGAAGTGTTTAAAAAGACGCGAGACCCCGATTTACTCAAAATGGGGCATTACAAACCGTTGGTGTTTTACAAAACAGGCTTCGTGTTATACGTCGCTGGCCCACTTGGCGCGATGTACCATGCCAATTTTGACACGCATCCATATTTCCGTTCAAAGCACATTTTTGAGAAACTCCATCTATAGACAGGCCCAGGTACGCTTCAAAACGCGTCTGTTTACAATTAAACCAAATTTTTTAGAACGACATGTGGGATTGTTTCTGCGCCCCCAAGAACGCCGGGAAGCCTCCCTCCGATGTCGTTAACGGTAGAACGACTTGGATTTCCGGACGTTCCTCGAGCATTACGGTCGCGACAACGTCGAAAGCCAACGCATCGTGTTCGAGATTTTTGACGAGTTGGACATTGTGGGACAGTTCCGCAAGTTCAGGCGCGACTTGTTGAGGGAATGCGACGAACACGCGTCGACGGTAGCGCATCCGGCCGTAGCAAAAATGATCCACGTTCTTGTTGAGAAGTACGTCAATGTTCACGAAGATTACGAGCTGTGAGAACAAATGTTATTGTCACAAAGCTTTTATTAACACAAGTCAAAGTAACTAATAATACACAGAAATAGTTAACGTACCTGCAAAAGAGAACTTTTCCATGTTCTTTCATCAGCGTGTGTGCCCGACAGTCGTGTGATATTAATTAGAATTACGTGGCAATTTTACTGAGCCAGATCCGGTCGTCACTAGTGTTTCGTTTACGCTGGGACAATGGGAAATCGGTTAATTATGGGTTTCTAATTGGTTGAAAGGAATGAATGTTATTAGTGGAACAGATTCTAATGATCGATGGGCGTAGTTAAAAAAAATTAAGATGGTGGGAACCCAAGCAAACCTTCAACGAGATAACATTCGGTCGGGGATTATCTTATTACTCAAATCCGATACGTTACCTATAGTTCATTGTAAGCGTTTACATGTTATTTATATCACAGATATTACTCCCTAAACCTTACGTTAATTATGCAGGAAAGCTGATGCCTCAACCTTGCCTTGCTTGTTTGATTAGGTTGCGATTCACTTTCCAGTAACCTACATATTTCCGGATAAGTTTGCATTTCCTGGTTATTCCTGAGAATATTCCTTCCTTAATTTGTTCTAAATGAACATCTTGAGCCGCCAGAGGGAAATCAGTTCATTTTTGGAGTGATCGTTCGGTTGCTATTTCTAATTTCTTAGCTTTCTAATTTCTTAGCTTCTCTTTTCAGTGGCATGCTTAAGGTATAGGGAGTTGTCTATATTCCGCGTTGTTGTTTCTTGGTACCCTTTATCGCATTTGTCATCTTCCTGCGATAGGATTGCGACTTGGGGACTTCTTCAATTCCTCAGAATGTTGTCAGCGCGGACTCGTTCGTGATAGGCACAGGGTTCTGAATGGGCACTCCATACAACCTTTAACTCTGGTCGTAACGGCCTTTTGAGCTCAGAAAGGCGCTTCTCTGCCTTATCTGTACCAGTCAACAACACAAACAAACAAACAAGAGGGATAGTGAGTGGCGCGGCATATAAATAATTTACGTTAATTGAGCCTTTGAAAGCCAGAGAAAATATCGATTTTTGTTATTGGTGTGATTGTAGGGCCTTTTGTGTGAGATAGACCACTCTGCCTTTCAACTTTTTTAAGTTTAATTATATGACAACTTACTACTCTAATATAATTATGCAATAAAAGGGTAGTTTTTATGCTCAAAATTTTATTTATTCAAAACGTTTGAACATACACCCTTTAGTCACAACTCCTCGATCTCCAAATACGGCTCTAATAGACCAATATCTTCTGTATCATCCACAGATCTTACATTTTGAAAGTATTCTTGATGGATTGGTGGAATGAATTGAAACAGTTCTTCCATGTTCTTCTTTTTTTCGGCCGAAATGGGAAGTGCAGATTCATGAAGAATAGGTAACTCTATGTTCTTACAATCAGCCACTCGGCCTTTCTTTTTTGGAAGTAAATCTATTTTTTTAAAAGGTAGTAAGTCGTTTAAGCTTTCTTTGTAAAATATTTCATACGGGCAGTCCTTTCGAAATTGAAGCCATTGCATTTTCAACCACGCAACTGGTTCTCCATCTGTATTAGTTTTCCTTCGTGTAGTTGCTTTCTCCAACAGATCGCAGGAATAAAAATCTGTTCTTACCATTTTATGTAATTTAAATGGATTTTTGTGTTTGCATTTTTGGATTATTGCAAACCAATCTTCAGGAACATACTTGATTCGATTTTTCGCATATTGCTCTATAAGGCCAAAATCCCTATCATTAGGCAAAAATGAATGCCCTGATACCATAAATTTATGGTCTATTTTCTTAATATTAGTTTCATTACCAGCAAGCATTTTTAGCCAAAATAAGCATTGCTTTAGATTCCGGTTTTGCCCCCCGCAAGCATCACTATAGGCAATGACATGTTCCGCGTTCTTTGCATAGTTGAGGATATGTTTTCGAATACACGAACCTATTTCTTGAGCTCCTCGAGAAGAGATAGTCTCGTCCCACGCGTACATAAAACCACTTTCGTCTTCTGTCAGCTCATGTATGCCCAAATTATAGACATACATGTTTCTTTTATAGTAAGCAATTGAACACGTTAAAGTGGGAAATGGAAGAGCTTTTTCCAAATCAAAGGTAAATGCATATGTTCGAGATTTATTTAAAATGCATACCGCTTTGTCAGATTTGAGGGATTCCCTGGCTTTTTCTGCTTTTCGTAAGTGCAATTCGTGTTGAGTATTAAGTTGTTGTCTTTCATTGTCATCAGTTGTTACATTAAGTTTGGCTTTGAAAGTGTCACATTTAACACAAGTGTCTTTCAGGGGAACGTGAAAATGGAGATTGAAGTCGCGATGAAAAATTTTGCGGTACATGGCTTCCGAAACGGCAACATTATTCTTTTCAGTACACTTTTCCTTGTAGAGATTGTACATTAAGCGTATGTTTAAACAATTGTCTAAATATTTCCTGTTCGGATTATTGATATGCTGGAAAGCTAGAGATGTGACTGCGTACGTCTTCAACATGTTCTTCCGCGCTTGATAGCCCGTGATAAACGGCCATTTGATATTTTGTATGTGTCCAGGAAGAATTGCTTACATACTGTAACGTTATTTATATAAATTCGGGTTCGATTTATATCAATATTTATTAATCAAAACTACAACACTATAAAAACCGTACAATTTATATCGATTATTATATCACACACACTTCGCAATTTATATTTCCGTGCTCGATGTTTCGTCCGTACTCGTTCGATAGTAGACTAACTCGATGTTCGGTCCGCAACCATTTATACACGCAAGCAATGTAAGTCCAGTACATTCTCGAATGTTCCTACAACTTCCACTATCGCGCGCGTAGAAAATTCCAGAGAATTCTGGAGCATTTCCGTTACACTGCCCCCTTCTTAATTCTGGACGTCTCGTTCAGAAACTGCGTTAGTATTACTTTTTAATGCCTCGTGTCGGAATCTGCAGTCAGAGCCTGCTCGACAAACACCTTTCTTGAAAAAGTAACAGTCCACAGTTTTGCGGAGGGTCGTCCCCTGTGGGTTGAAGCAGCATACTGTAATTCGAACGCTAGTGTTTCTAAAAATCACTTCGATCATGGTTCGCACTATTTTCCAGTCCAACCCATCTAAACCACATCCAATCTTCGGAATCGCCAAGCTATTTATGTCATAGTATGCCATGAGTTTCCTTAAGCTTTTTAAAGCAGACCAGAGGTTTTCATAGGTGGGTTTGCCTTCTGACGTTTTCTTTGAAACCAAGTAGAACAAAGAGCGTTGACTATCTTCCAAGCGCAGTACTTTACCCACTCGTGGTCTTTGCTTTAACAACTCGTCCATTCTTCCAAATCTTTTCCGGAATACGGAAGCTATACCTCTACCCATGCGAAGGTCTTCGGCGACACAATGGGCGATGGAAACGTTAATCGGAAGCTCAAAAATATTTTGACAAATTTCCTGAGTAACGCCAAATCGAGCTTTCTTCCGCTGGGCGTAATTTGACATAAAATCGTTAAAGTTTGGCTCGATCCCAAAGCTGCGTTCCTCTTCTCGAATCCCTCTAACTTCTTCGTTGTTGTTGGATCCGGCATATCGTGCGAGTCGATTAATGTGGACAACTTTCGGTTTTCGGTGGTTCATTCTGATACGATATATCACGTCATTTATTTTCTTGATCACCTCATACGGACCTTCCCATTGTCTTTGTAGCTTGGGAGAAAGACCTCTTCGTCTCTGTGGATTGTGCAGCCATACCATCAGATCTCCAGCTTCAAAAGTTTCATTGACCGAGCGGAGGTTGTATTGATTTTTCATGCGATCGCTGGCAATCTGAATATGACTTCTAGCCAAGTCGTGAATGTCGTTCATCTTCGCCTTTAGTTGGTCAACATAATTTTCACCTGCGACATATTCTTCATGGGGTTACGCCCAAACTCGAGGTCACATGGAAGGCGTAGTTCACGACCCAACATAAGGCAGGCAGGAGTCTGACCCGTGGTCTCGTTGACGGCTGATCGATATGCCATAAGGAACAGGTGGAGGTACTGGTCCCAATTTTTCTGATGTTCTGCCACGACTTTTGAAAGATGTTTACCCATCGTTCGATTCATTCTCTCCACCATTCCATCTGACTGAGGATGCAAAGGTGTTGTTCTGGTTTTATTGGCTCCTACCAATCGACAAACATCTTGGAACAAAGCCGATTCAAAGTTCCTTCCTTGGTCTGAATGGATTTCTATAGGAATACCAAAACGTGTAAAGAACTCCTTTACCAACACTTCTGCAACTGTTGCTGCCTCTTGGTTTGGAATAGCGTAAGCTTCAGTCCACTTTGTGAAATAATCCATAGCCACTAGGATATATTTATTTCCGCCATCTGTCTCGGGAATCGGTCCTGCGATATCGATAGCAACTCGTTCCATCGGACTACCAACGTTATACTGCCTCATGGGTGCCTTCTTCTTGGAAACTGGTCCGTTTCCAGTAGCACATAACTCACATTTTTGACACCATCGCTGGACATCTTCTTTACGGTTGACCCAATAGAATCGCTCACGTACCCTTTGCAACGTTTTCGTAATACCAAAGTGTCCTCCGGAAGCGCCGTCATGCAATTTTCGCAATACTTCCGACACTTTGCTTCTAGGTACTACTAATTGCAGCGTCGATTCGGTGCCATCTTCACTTTCAAGGGTCCTATACAACAGGTTGTATTTCAGAGTCAGGCTATTCCATTGGCCCCAATAACTCTTTACTTCAGGACTTGTGGCACTAATGTCTTGCCAGTCTGGTCTTTGTCCGTGGCGCATCCAATTAAGAACAGTTTTTAAACTTGGGTCGTTTTCTTGGGCCGTTTTGATTTCGCTTGGCTTCCATTCCTCACTCTCTACAGTTGTTCGTCGCAGATGGCCAATCTTGTCTTCTATTTTAGAACAATGTGTGCAGTTGTCCTTGCACGGTCTTCTTGACAAAGCGTCTGCATTATTGTGAACTTTTTCAGCCCTGTGTTCAATGTCGTAGTCATATTCCTGAAGACGTTCTAACCATCTTGCCACCTGTCCTTCTGGGTTTCGGAACTGCAAGAGCCACTTTAGCGCTGCATGATCTGTCCTTATCAGGAACTTGCGGCCGTAAAGATATTTATGGAAATGTTCGCATGCCTTTACCACACCCAGGAGCTCTCGCCTAGTCACACAATAATTCCTCTCGGGTTTCGACAGTACTTTGCTGAAATAGGCAATGACTCTTTTCTGTCCGTCTTGCAATTGAGAGAGAACAGCTCCAATGGCGGTGTTACTGGCATCGGTATCTAGCACAAACTTTCCTTCATTTCTGGGGTAGCCAAGGATAGGTGCGCTAGTAAGAGCCTGCCGGAGATGTTCGAAACCTCTTTGACAGTCTTCATTCCATTCGTACTCATTGCCTTCTTCTGTCAACTTTATTAATGGTTTGGCAATGTTGGCAAATCCTTTCACGAATCGTCTATAATAGGTGCACAACCCGAGGAAACTTCGAATCTCGTGCTTGTTCTCAGGAATCGGCCACTCTTGAATCGCTATAATCTTCTCTGGGTCAGCTGTAACACCATCACGAGAAACGATGTGCCCCAAATATTTAACTTCTTTTTGGAACATA